GAAGTCAGACGCTTAACCGACTGAGCCACCCAGGCGCCCCTCGGGTGCAAGTTTTTGTGTGAATGCAAGTTTCAATTAACTTGTAAGCACCAAGGGGCATGATTTCTGGATTGTGTGCTAAAAGTATGTTTAGTTTACAAGAAAGTGCCAAACTGTCTTCCAAAGTGGCTGTAAGCATTCTGCATTCCCATTAGCAATGAATGAGACTTCTTGTTATCCTACATCCTAGCCAGCATTTGGTGTTACCAGTGTTTTGGATTTTAGCCATTCTCACGAGTGTGTAGTGGTATCTCGTTCTAATTTACAACTCTTTGGAGACGATATTGAGCATCTTTTTGTATGTTTTTCATCTGTACATTTTCTTTGGTGATGTCTGGAATTTTGTCCATTTTTAAAAATTGGGTTTTCTTATTGTTGAATTTTAAGAATTGTTTGTATATTTTGGATACTAATCCATTATCAGATAGGTCTTTCACAAATATTTTCTTCTAGTGTATGGCTTGTCTTCTCATTCTCTTAAGTGTCTTTTGCAGAGTGGAAGTTTTAAAAATTTTAATGAAGTACAGCTTACCAATCCTTTCTTTCATGGATCATGCTTTTGGTGTTGTATTAAAAAGTCATCACCAAACCTAAAGTCATCTGTATTTTCTCTTGTGTTATCTTCTATGAGTTTTATAGTTTTGCATTTTACAGTTAGGACTATGATCCATTTTGAATTAATTTTTTGTGAAGGCTGTAAGGTGGGTCTAGCTTTTGTTTTTTTTTTTTTTTTTTTTTTTTGGACTGCAGATGTCCAGCTGGTACAGTATCATTTGTTGAAAAAACTATTCCCCATTGTATTGCCTTTGCTACTTGATCAAAGATTAGTATATTTGAATGGGTCTATTTCTGGGCTCTCTAATCCATTCCATTGATCTATTTGTCTATTCTTTCATAAATACACTATTTTTGTTTCTGTAGTTTTATTGTAAGTCTTGAAGTTCGGTATTGTCAATCCTACACTTCTATTCTCCTTCAATACTGTGTTGGCTATTCTGGATATTTTGCCTCTTCACATAAATTTATAATTTTGGTCTTTGGTGAAACTATGCCACTGGACTGTGAACATCACCAGTTTTCAGACCCTCTTCCCCAATGTAGGTGGGACAGGATGGTTAGAGTGGGCTGGAGTTGGTCATTTCTCTTCAACATGGTTAGATGCTAATAAAACCCCATGAGGTTATTGGGGGCATGCCTTGTTATGAATGCTCTAGGTGTATTTCAAAATAGTGACTTTCCCTTCCTCCTGCCAAAAGCACAATGGGGATTTTGCCAATCTTCACTATAAGAACTTGGTTGGCCTCCTGGTGTTAAAACTCATAGGTTAAAACTCATAGGCTACCCTATGACTGGGACCCCTTGGAATCTTTAATTCTCAGGTATGTTCACACTGAGCCTCTTGCAATTTGTCCATTATAGTTTATGTTTTTCTACTGTATTTTTTCAGTTTCTGCTAATGTGTTTCTGCTCTGGTAATTTTTTTGCAGTGATGTTTTGATTTCCTTTTCATTTAATGTATTTTATAGGTATTGTCTTTGTAGATACCATGGGGATTACACATAATATCCTAAAGTTATAACAACCTATTTTAAATTGATACCAACTTCAATTGCAGACAAAAAACTCTATCCTTTTACAGGTGGTAGCTTTATTACTGATAACACAAATTACACCTTTATATATCATGTAGCCATTAACACAGATTTATATTTCATGCATTTTTCCTTTAAACTTTGTTTAAAAACGAGTTGCAAACAAAAGTTACAATACTGTTTTTATATTTATCCATGTATTTACATTTATCGGGTATCTTAGTATTTTTTTTTTAATTTTTTTTCAACGTTTTTATTTATTTATGGGACAGAGACAGAGCATGAACGGGGGAGGGGCAGAGAGAGAGGGAGACACAGAATCGGAAACAGGCTCCAGGCTCCAAGCCATCAGCCCAGAGCCTGACGCGGGGCTCGAACTCACGGACCGTGAGATCGTGACCTGGCTGAAGTCGGACACTTAACCGACTGCGCCACCCAGGCGCCCCTATCTTAGTATTTTTAATGGCTTCCAGGTGCTATCTTGTAGTGCCTGATATTCGGGAGATGGAAAATACTCCATCCCCAAATTCCTAGCTTATCTGTAATAAATTCCCTTTCACCTTTCATGATTTTTGCCAAAAACAGAAACCCAAAACATTTTCCAAGTGTATACACTTCCCAAAGATGCTAATAACAGCAATTAGGAGCAAATAGGATTTCATGTTCAAATTAGTTTGGATCATGCTCATATAAGCCAGTTAAATGAGAGTTTTGTCTTTTTTTCCCCTAAGTGTATTGTTTTGATATGCTGCTGTGCATTATGAGATGTAGGATTATAAGGCTATAATAATTAAAATGCAGACATGGTATTTTAACTCATAAAGTCACTCATTATATCCACATTTTATTATAGCATATAACATTGTTTTAATAAAAATATTTTATAAAAGATGATGCTGGGACTTGGTCAAATTCTCAACTGTTATGTTTTCTTAATGTTTATTTATTTTTGAGAGAGAGAGAAAGAGCACAAGCATGAGGGGGGAGAGACAAAGAGAGGGGGACAGAGGATCCAAGGTGGGTTCTGCACTGACAGCAGTGAGACCTATGTGGGGCTTGAACTCATAAACTGTGAGATCATGACCTGAGCTGAAGTCAGACGCTTAACTGACTGAGTCACACCCAGGCACTCCTGTTACGGAGTTTAGATATACAAAATCCAGAATTTCCACAGAATTATCTTTTGTTGCATTTCAAGAATCCCTCCCTACCCAAAACCTACTTGTTTTCTGGGTTTGGATAACATAGAATACTATGCTAACCAAATCAATGCTTTTTTTAGGAAATGACTAGAGCAAGAGTTGACAAACTTTTTCTGTAATGGGCCAGATAGTAAATATTATAGGCTTTGCAAACCACTTGGTCTTATCAGAGGTACTCAATTGTTTTGTAGTGTGAAAGCAGCCAGACAATATGTGAACGTACGTAGTTCTGTTTTAATGACTTTATTTATGAACACTGAAATTCAATTTCATATAATTTCATGTTATGTTTTTTTTTTTTTTATTTTAACCACTTTAAAATGTAAAACCCATTCTTAGCTTACAGGCCATACAAAAACAGTCAGTGGTCTAGATTAATTTGCTATCCCGATTTACAGTGTGATAGTTAAGGTTTTATCTAAGGTTTGAGTTCAGGTAATGGGTTCAGATTGTGGTGAATATTTGTATTAATAGACTGCTAGAATAAATTTGTACACTCTTAGTACTATATGACACTAAATTATATTTTTGTGATCTAATTATTTTGACATCAGGAATATGGAAGATTCACAGCAACAAATGGCAAGCTTCTTACTTCATTTGATTTAGAAATTCCTTGAATATTTGATAGATTTTGCCAATAAAATTATCTGGCCTGGTGATCTCTTTAAGCGGAGCTATTTGCCTACATTAAAACATTTTTCCCCCTGCATTTATCATTTTAGTCTATTAAGGGTTTACATCTCTTCTTAATTCTGACAAATTACATTTTCCTACAAATACCACATACTTTGTCCAGATTTCCAGACATTAGTAAATGTGATAATCTCCTAATCATATCCATATTTAATGTATTCATCTGTCCTTCTTTTCCCCATCAGAATTACCAATGTTTTTGTCTATATGTATTTTTTCTATCAAAGAAATAATTTTATTTTCCTTGAATTATTTTTATTTTTACTAGTATCTTTTCTATATTTGAATGTAGCTTGCTGTTATTCTTGCTTTTAGTCTTGTACATTTAGTTCATTTATTAATAATCTCTTGCTATTTAAACATCAGCATGCCTAAAACCAGAAAACAGACTCTTAACTATAGAGACCAAACTAAGGGTTACTGGAGGGAAGGTGGGCAGAAAGATGGATTAAATAAATGGATGATAGGTATTAAGGAGGGCACTTGTGATGAGTACTGGGTGTTAGGAGTAATGAATTACTAAATTTTACACCTGAAACTAATATTACACTGTATGTTAACTGGAATTTAAATAAAAACTTGAAAAAAAAATCAGCATGCCTATGGGCTATACATTATTTGAATATAGATTTAGCTGCTTTCAGGTTTTTCTATGTAATGTGTTCATTCTCATTCATTTAAATATATTCAGGGATTGATTTACTTCTGATTCATGTTACTTGGAAGGGTATTATCAATATTCAGATATGGTTGGCTATCATATTTTAGTTTTTCCCATTTTGAAAAAAGAATGTGACCTACATATGTTCTACTTTGGAGGGAAAGTGAGTAAATATTTCATGTTTTCTCTGCTTTTTTGATAAATGAATTGTTATTCTCAATATGTAAATAGTTTTTGATGGGCATAAAATTATTGTGCAGCATGAAATATAGGTGTGAATGTAGTCTTAATCATTCTTTTTCTTTCTTGACTTTTATACCCTAGGGTTTTTTTTTTTCCTTTTTTAATAGTTGTTTGTTTGTTTGTTTGTTTTGAGAGAGAGTCTGCAGGGGAGGGGCAGAGAGGAAGAGAATCCCAAGCAGGCCCTGTGCTGAAAGTGCACAGACGCAGAATAGATCCCATGAACTGTGAAATCATGATCTGAGCCTAAACCAAGAGTCAGATGCTTAACTGACTGAGCAACCCAGTCACCCCACTATTTTTTGTTGTTGTTTGAGAGTGAGAGAGAGAGCAAGCACAAGCAGGGGAGGGGGGCAGAGAGAGAAAGAAAGAATCCTAAGCAGGCTCCATACTCAGCTCAGACTTGATGTGGGGCCTGACCCCAAAACCCTGGGATCATGACCTGAGATGAAATGAAGAGTCAGATGCCCAACTGACTGAGCCACCCAGGCACCCCTTTTCCTTTTTAAACTTCATGCTGAATAAAGAATAAATGTTGGTGCGAAGCTTTTCACCAAACATTACACCCACTGGTCTTTCTCATTATGAATTCTTTGATGTCAATTAAGGTGTATTACATGGTTAACATTCTTTCTACAAATGATAATAATAATGGTGAAGATATTGATACTAGTATTAAAATAGCATTTGCTAGATAGTTACTATATGTTAGTAACAATCCCACCCATTTTACATTTCTTAACTCATTTAATCCTTGCAGCAATCCAACACACACATTAGTGTGTGTGTATATGTGTATGTATATTCACACACATATAAAATTACAAAGCAGCACTAACTTTTCTACAAGTATTGAAATATTTAGGTATTTGGTTGTGTATGCACATATTTATAAACAAATATAGTTTTTAAAAAAAGGTCTGGAAGATTAAAAGACAAATTGGTATCAGTGGTTACAATGAGGGATATGGTTTACAAGGAGAAATACTGATCAGTTATTTTGATACTGAAACGTAATGTTTTTAAAGAAAACAAAACAAAATAAGATAGCACTAAATTTGTATTTAAAAGGCAATTTTTATAACTGTAAAATTTCAGTGAGCACCATTAAGTATGTCAGTAGTATTTAGCAAAATGATAATCTACCATAGAAAAGACTATGATACCATTAAAAATAATGATAAATAAATATTTATACTTACTGAAACAGTAGCATGATAGAAGCAGGTATGGTACAGCATGCACATCAGATTACACTAAGAAAGCCTGGAAGGATATGTTGTAATAATATGAAAGTAGTAATTTCTGTTTGGAAGGCTTACAGATAATCTATTTATTTCCTTTGTGTGTTTTTTACAACATGAAAATATGAGTGTTACCAAAGGGAAAAAGAACAGAGCTGCCTTCAAAAACAAAGTTATAATTTTGCCAGGAATTAAAAGACAGCCTATGTAACAGGACTTACAGTGTAGTATTGGTAGTACCAGATCTATAGGTCAGAGCAATAGAAAAGATGGCTCTAAAATGAAGCCAATATAAACACAAATGTATAACCAAGAAGCAGAATAAAACAATGGGGAGGAAAGAATTATTTAAGAAGTAGTTTGGGACAGAATCTTTTTTGGAGGGAAGGCAGGTATAATTTAAACCTTGAATTTACATTTTAGAATACATTTAACAAGTTATGTATAAAAGAAAATTACAAATATGTTAGAAAAACAATGTTAACAGTGTTATGGGTTAAACTATGTTGAAGCCCTAACCCCTGGCACTTGTGAATGTGACCCTACATGGAAATAAGGTCTTTGCAGATGTAATCAGTTAAAATAAGGTCATCGGGGTGTGCCCTAATCCAATAGGACTCATGTCCTGTATGAGTCTCCTCTTAAACAAGACAGAGACCGATATACATAGGGAGAATGCAATGTGAAGATGGAGGCAGAGGCTGGAGTTGATGCATTACACGACAAGGAATGTCAAAGATTGTTGTTATCAGAAGGCAGGAGAGGGACATGGAACAGATTCTTCGTCAAAGTCCTCAGAAGGAACCAACCTTACCAACAACTTTGATTTTGGATTTCAAAGCTCCAAAACTGTGAGAGAATACATTTATGTTGTTTTAAGTCACCCAATTTTGAGGTACTTGATATTGTTATAGTAGCTCAAAAAACTACTACACTGCTTTATTTTTTTTCCATTACCTATTTTTAAGATCTTATTATAAAGATTATGAACAGAGCTTATCTTTCACCCAGTATGAATTCCTTCATGGCGAATAAGGTCAGAACGACTACCAAAGGCCTTTCCGCATTCCTTACAGTCAAAGGGTTTCTCACCAGTGTGAATTCTTTGATGTCTAGTAAGGTTTGAACCTTTATTAAAGGCCTTCCCACATTCATTACATTCATAAGGTTTTTCATCTGTATGGATTCTCTGATGTTGAATAAGTTCTGAGCTCTGAATAAAGGCCTTTCCACATTCCTTACATTCATAGAGTTTCTTGCCTGCATGAATTCTGTGATGGTTAGTAAGTGTTGAGGCACTACTAAAGGCCTTCCCACATTCCTTACATTCATAAGGTTTCTCACCAGTATGTATTCTCTGATGTTGAATAAGCCTTGAGTGTTGAGTAAAGGCTTTCCCACATTCTTTACATTCATAAGGTTTCTCACCAGTATGAATTCTCAGATGTGGAAAGAGCTGTGAACTCTTAGTAAAGGCTTTTCCACATACTTTACATTCATAGGGTTTCTCACCAGTGTGAATTCTCTGATGATCGTTGAGGTTTGAGCAATAATTAAAGGCTTTTCCACATTCCTTACATTCATAGGGTTTCTCACCAGTGTGAATCCTCTGATGTTGAGAAAAATATGAACTACAACTAAAAGCCTTGCCACATTCCTTACATTCATAGGGTTTTTCACCAGTATGAATCCTCTGATGTCGAGTAACAAGCGAGCCACGACTAAAGGACTTCCCACACTCTTTACATTTGTAGCTTTTTTCAGCAGAATGAGTTCTCTGATGTTGAATAAATTGTGAGTTCTGATTAAAGGCCTTTCCACATATCTTACATTCACAGGGTTTCTCTTCATTAACAGTTTTTTGATGTGGAGTGAGGAATGTGGGCTGAATAAAAGTGGGCATGTCTTCATGGGTAAATATTACTTGACTAAAATGTCTCTTCTTTAGAGATAATATCTTGGTCTCACACATGGATTCCAGATCTGAAAGAAAATAAAAATGTGTATGTTCATTTATCCTATCTTGGAAAAGATTAAAACTTCAAAAAAAGATTAAGGTAAAAATAATATCTAGGAAAGTAAATGCTTAAACAACTCTCAAATACAGCTAAGCAATTTTTAAAACTGATAACGAAAGCATGGACATTGAGGAGAGCCAACAGGAAATTCAAGAGGGTGATTAGGGAAATAAATAATCTCTATCTTGAAATACTGATGTGAATCAGAATCATTTGAAACTTCTGTAAATACACCCTGTTCAGGGCCACCCTCTATTATATACAGTGATTCTAAGCATATATACATGCTCATAAGCATATATCCCTTACACACAGCATCATACTATATGTCTTGTAATTTGTGGACAGTTGTCCATCCTGAATAAAAAGATTACTGAGGAGGGCACCTCGGTGGCTCAGTCAGTTAAGCATCCGACTTTGGCTCAAGTCATGATCTCACGGTTCATGAGTTCAAGCCCCACATCAGGCTTGCTGCTGTCAGCACCAAGCCTGCTTCGGATCCTCTGTCTCCCTCTCTCTCTATCCCTCCCCCACTCATGCTCTCTCTTTGAAAAATAAACAATTAAAAAAAAAGACTTGAGGAACAAATGTGTTGAAATGTATAAATGGGTGGAGGTGCAGTCAGAGACTGTACAAAGGGTGTGCTGTTGCAAATTCACATTAGGGTATAGCCTACAGGAAGTCTAAGGTGCTGAATGAAATAGGCAAGAATGGTAGGCAGGTGATAGAGCCTGATATATTGGGGATTCACTGAAACTAGTTAGTTTTGACCACTCATGACCACATAATCAAACCCCAATAAAAACTCAGAGCAAGGATTAAGGGAAGCTTCCTAGACTGTATGATGTATAAGGAAGGTGGCATACCTTAACTACATGGGCACAGAATTTCCTATGCTTGGTACCTCCTAGAATTTGCCCTATGTACCTTTTCAGCTGGCTGTTCACTGTCTCTTTTATATAAAATGGTAATCGTAAGTACAGTGCTTTTCATGAATTTATGAGTTGTTCTAGTGAATTATCAAACCTGAGGAGTTGTATGAAACTCTAAATTTACAGTCAGCCAGGCAGAAGTATGGGTAGCTGGGGATCCCAGTTGCAACTGGTGTCTGAACTAAGGGCAATCTTGTTGGGTACCTTGCCCTTTAACCTGTGGAATCTGATGTTAATTCCAGGTAGCGTCAGAATTTAACTGAAGTGTAAGACAGCCATTTGATATCAAAGAATTTGTGAAAGCCACAATACTGAAATAATCCTGTTCATTTCATCCCAATTTCACTCTCAGAATGCCAATAATAGGCTCATAACTCCCTCAATTAGTAATGAAAGTAAAAGTCCCTTCTGATGGGAAAATTATGCACAAGGGAAAAGACCAAATTACCAAAAGTGGGCAGTCCTCAGTATATTAACCCAACCAGATCATCCTAAAGTAAACAAGACCCAATCCCTACTACACAGAAGTTCCAATCATCTTTTCAGTATGTCATACTTAAAAATGAGCAGTAAGCCATTGTTTATAAGACATTTGAGAAATGTTTTTCAACATGAAAAGGAGCCTAAAACAGAACAAAGTATCTGTGAGGGAACAATCAATGCAAGGAATAGAAGAAAAGGTCAAAACATATAATGAATAACCTCAGAGAGATAAGAGAATCAAACAGGCATAAGATGCTAAACAAAGGAACACAAAGGAACACTAACATATATACACACAAAGTTCTTAGAAATCAAAAATATAATCATGAAAAAGTATTTTTAAAAACCCCAAAATTCCTCTCTAAATTCTGTGCACAAAATTCTGGCTTCCTTTCTCAATTGACCTTGGAGAAATTACAGAGAATTTGGTTTTGTGGAACTGAGGCAAATTATGAAATATCTTAGGGAGACTGAAGACTTATACAAACTTGTGTGTGTTTGAGGATGGAGCTACTTGCCTAGATAGATGGTAACAGGAGGCAAGGAGAGGCTAGCCTGGTAGTAAAGTCTTTAAACTCTGATTTAGCCTTTCCCTGAACTTCCTTGGGACCACAGCAGCCTATGTCTTTACCACAGGAATTGATGGCAACTCTGCTCAAGTTGCTGAATAAGTAGGATAACCTAATGGCAAAGAAAAAAACCTGTGGATAGAAGAATATGGCTGATCACCTGCTCTCAGGCATATGCTCCTCTACCTCCTAAGCTATTAAAACCCCCAGAGCAGGGCACCTGGGTGGCTCAGTCAGTTGGGAGTCCAACTTCAGCTCAGGTCACGGTCTCACTGCTTGTGGGTTCAACCCCCATGTCGGGCTCTGCGCTGACAGCTCAGAGCCTGAAGCCTGCTTCAGATTCTGTGTCTCCCCCTCTCTCTGCCCCTCCCATGCTTGTGCGCTCTCTCTCTCTCTCTCTCAATAATGAATAAATGTTAACAACAAAAAAAAAAAAACTTAAAGAAAAAAAACCCAAGAGCTGGTGGATTACAAAAGGGAAAGCATACTCTTCTGTAGATGCTGCTGCTTTGTAAATGTTGAAAGATCAAACCCTGATAAGAAGAATTACCTAGAGGAGCAGTAGCAAATAAAAGTTATCACCAGTGAACCCTTAGGTCTTAGGGCTCATCATCCTGAGCTTATCTCCACCCACTTCTTATATCTACCTAGAGGGACACAGACCTGGGTCAACCTCTTGGCCCTACCCCAGGCACACTGCCAGACAAGGTGATTGATAATCTCTTGGGAACATGGACTCACAGGTCAAAATGGCCATACAACAGAGGGTACAACTGTTGTTGAAATAAGACTAAAACTACCATGATCATCTTTGACAGATACAGAAAAAGTATAGGATGTGGCCAAGACCTATTTATGATAACTCTGAGCAAATCGGCCCTGCAAAGTAATAGCTCTAACTTGGTAAAAGTTATGAAAGAGAGAGGGAGACACAGAACTTGAAGTAGGCTCCAGGCTCTGAGCTGTCAGCACAGAGCCCAATGTGGGGCTCAAACCCACGAACCACGAGATCATGACCTGAGCCAAAGTTGGACACTCAACCAACTGGGCCACCCAGGCACCCCTGAAGAAACTTCAGATATGGTCCCATTAGATCAGGAAAAAGAAATGTTACCACTACCAATGTTACCAATTAAGGCAGTCCCAGCTATTATTATAAGCAAAGAAATAATAAGTATGAGGATTAGAAGTGATAAATCTAATAATATGATGATCTAACTAGAAAAACCTTAATATGATGATGATCTAACTAGAAAAATCAAGAGAATAAAAAACTGCCAGACATTAAAGATCAGCTTATAAAAATTAATAGTATTTTGAGTAACATCAGCAAGATGATGGAATAATAAGTGCTAGATTCTCCTGACCCCCATAATAAACACATCAACTCAATACCAATACATAGATAAGTTCCCTTTGTGAGAAATCAAGAAACTAAGAGAATCCTACATACTAGGCAAGTGTGAAGCCAGACATATTAAAACTAGTAGGAAAACTGGAGAAACCCTCTCTCACCATGATCCCCATACTGGCATAGCGCCATAAAACTGGGAGGAAACCTCCAGCTTCCAACTTCTCCCTGAATACAAAAAAAAGTTGGAATGCAGTCAATGACTCAACTTTTCTAAGTGATGCCTAACTGACCATTCTGGAGCCTTGATTAGACCTGTTATACCCTAGACTCCTGAGGACTACAGAGAACAAAAGCACTGGTTTGAACTAGTATGCAGGCACTCACCACAGCTCCTTTCCCTGCTCGATACAGAGTGAATGGGAGAGAAACTTCAGCTCTCAGCTTCTCCCTGGGGAAGGTAAGAGGTGGACCGTGTGTCAAACATTCCAACTCTTCTGGGGTTTGACTAAGGTACTGGCTTCTATCTCACCAGTCTTGGAGTGCTGATGGAACCCGGCAGATTCAAGATGTCTGAGAGCCACCAAGAATTAAGAAGGTAGTTTGAACTAGTATACAAACTTATCATAGCTCCTCCTCCTGGCCTAGTGCAGAACGAATGGATAGAAAACACTAGCTCCCACCATCTCCTTGAAGATGAGAAGAGTTGGACAATGCAACAATTTTCTAACTTCTCTGGGAGCTACCCAAGGTACTGACTTCAATCTCACCTATCTCAGAGTGCAGATGGGACCTGGCATACAGTGGGCCCCTGGGACTACAGAAAACAAAGGGGGCAATTTGAACTAGCATGGAGGCACCACAGCTCTTCTCCTAGTTTAGTACACAGTGAGTGGGAGAAAAAACAAAGCTCCCAGTTTTCAAATGTTCCAAATTTTGGGGGATTACTTAGGGCCTGGCTTCTGTCTTGGAGCTGATGGAACCGGGCATATTCTAGACACCTGGGAGCCATTGAGAACAAAGATGGGGATTTGAACCATCTTTGCATGTAACACCTGCATGTAAACATTTGCCATAGCCCTTCTCCCCATTCCAGAGCAAAGCTAGCAGGCAAAACACTCCAGCTCCCACATTTTCTCTGGAGAAGGAAAGAAACTGGACCACACATCCAATGTTCTAATTTCTTTAGATGCTACATGAGGAATTGGTGCTTGTTTCAGAGCACTGATGGGACCTGGCATACTCTAGACACCTGGGGGTCGCTAATAAAGACAGTGGTTTGGATTAGCATAAAAGTTTGAGAGGCTGACAGAAGCTCTGACTGGTGAAGGTCTTCTCTTGTATGAGGCTAATACAGAATAAATGGGACAAGTGGCATTTTTTAAAACATGTAGATATCAACACAAAGAATCAAGGAAAATGAAGAAACAGGGAAACACAATCCAAACAAAGAAACAAAGCTCCAGAAAATTACCCTAATGAAATATAAGTAGAGGAATTACCTGACAGGGAATTTTAAATAAACATCATAAAAATGATCAATGAGCTCAAGAGAACAATGTATGAGGAAAGTGAGAATTCCAATGAGACAAAGTATGAGAAATAATAAGAAAATCCTGGAGCTGAAGAA